GAACTGTTTTCTGTGAGCTGGTGGCCTTCTTGCTTTCTGTCCCTAACTAGTCAACTCATCCATTAAAAGGTGCTACACATGACAGAGAAACCCTTGTGAAACATTCATTAACTTCTGCTTGAAAGATCGTTCAGGCTTCTAGCTAAAGGTTCAAGTCCTGACAGCCGAACAGGTCTGAGGGAAAGGTCGATTCAGAGTAATACTCCCTATCAGCCTCTTCGGTGAAAGGACACAAGGATTACATGTAGCCAGTGCTGCTCACGGACAAGGGAACTCCCCCTATCTGCAGATGAGGCCTCCTCTGCCTCTCATTATACACACACAGCGAGAGCTTTTCGACGTAGTTAGAAAGGGTTAGTCTGGCTCGCTGAAAGGAATCTACTTGATCTTTAAGTGGTTAGATTACTGCAAAAAGCAAGAAGCATAACATTCATCCTAGCTACCATTTATTTTTAAACATCATCAGTTTAAGGAGGAAGTATTAAGCCTGCTGTTCCTACCCTATGCACTGCTGTTTAAAGGCCCACACTAAAATGTGCTATAGATGTAGACGTAAAAGACAGTATCACATGTCATCCGTGTAATGAAGTGTATTGCACTATCCAAGTCCTACGAACAGATAGCTGAGTGGCCTTTTATGTACATCAGCCGACATTAAAAGGCCTGAGTAAAATAGGAATTAACTCCCTTGTCAATGAAATTACAGGATTTTTACACCCCCACTACCAGGATCAAGATGAGGCCTCTAGACTGAATTAGTCCTTTAACCACTCCATTTTCAAAGTTGTAAGGTTCTTTGGGGGGTGGGGAGGGAAGTCACAGATTTTCATTCCTATAATTCAGACTTTAGTGTCCTATTGTTCAATTTTTTTAATGGTGGCCTTAAATTTTTTATGTCCACAAATTAAGAACCAATGGGATTTAAACCTTGTGTATTGTTTTTCAATCCTAGGACTAACCAAAATTCTCCGTCAGTGATTCTACCGAATCCTCTAAATACTAGCTTAGAATGGCTATGAACCGTCCTGATTTTTTGAAGCCCCTGTTTATGAAGAAAGTGAACTGTTTTGGGCAGGGTTGTTATGAAATTAGCTAAAACGCAAGGCGTCTATAGATAAGGATAGGGACTCAGTGCCTATTGCACTCTAGCCTGTCCACCAGCCTAGTATAGACCCCAGACATATATTAATAACCACTCACACTGCAGTTTGGGCCCTCAGTTCTCCTACCTTAAGTACTTCTTTAACATTAGAATAACCTCAAGATAGGTCTGTGTGGTTTACTACGAGGTTATTTCAGTTCAGTCTCCAGATTCTTGGCTTGGTTTTCATGGGCTCTTTCTTTTTTGGGGGGGTGCAGGGAGAGAAGAGGGAAACTCTGTAGGGTCTATTGGTACTCGTCTCTATTAGATATGCAACCAATCTACCATTTCCGGTGTTGCTTCTATCTAATTAGAGATGTATTTAGATGTGAAGTGTAAATAAACGCTGAGCTGCCTGCTGCCCTGGCTCTGCGCTGACTCCTCGGGAATATTTCCAATAAGGCTGGAGCGCCCGGAGCCAGGGCTCAGACAAAGAGGAATGAGGATGGTCTGCGCTGCAGGCAAATCCAACACAAACCAGCTTTTATCTACGGCTCTGGAGCCTTAACTCCTTTTAATCTGCACCGCATAGGCTTACACAACACGATCGCCTGTATTCCACTGACAATGTCTGATTACAAAAGGAAAACCCATACGCCACTCAAAGTAACCCAAACAGGAACGGAAGCCTTAGTCCCTGTTTGCCTTTTCGGGCCACGAGGTATGACCCTCCCCTGTGAAGTCCGCCGGGCTTCAAAACAACCTGAGGTAGGTTTGCCTGCCTTTCAGCGTATACATTAAACAAACCGAGGGCAGCCCGGTGCTATAAAACAAAGTCGACTCCCTCCCCACCCCCAGGTCATTAGGGCTCCGGGGTGGGAGGGGAGAAGTTGATCCGATCTGAAAAGCTCTCGCGGAAACTCGCTTTCCTTTCGGTATTCGCCCGGAGTGGTTGTGAATCTCCGCTGTGGGTTTTCCATCGTGACCCGGGGGAGGGAGGCGGAGGGAAGAGATGGGGAAACACTAACTGCGTGCTCCGCTCGCTCGCGGGGCCCCTTGCACGCCAGGCTCAGCCTGTGCGCGCCTCTCTGTGTTTGTCTGGCCCCGCACCAATCTGACACGGGGTTAACGCGCTCCTCGGAGTTTCTAAACAGAGGAAACTTCTGGGAACGAAATAATCTGGCACTCGCCTCGTAAACTCTCTTCCTGTTGTGGGAAACAGCTCTTAAAATGCAATTAGACGCATGGGGGTAAGCCCACGATCCACAGCGCTGCCCCCTTTCCCTCCGGGCACATTCCAATCGCTTCTCCGGTTCTTTTAACCGCACCAGCCAGCTAGATTTTCCTCATCTTTAAGGGTTAACAAAAAATATCGCGGTGACCTTTTCCTCTCGGTTTCCCCCACTCTCCCTTTCAGGCTCCGGTTCTTGAGCTCGCAGGGAGCCTGAACGGCTGTCTAGACCGATCTATCACAAACGGACAAACAATACCAGGAGAAGCCCTTTCCCGGTCCCTCAGCCTCCGCCACTCACCTTAGAAATGGCGAAGGAAATAAAGAAACAGTGTCCGCAACATAATCCTTCACTGTACATGTGTAGCCTTCAAAACAGCCCACCTTCATGCCTGACAAATAGGATTTTGTCTGCTCTTTTAGCGTTTGCTACGACACACACTTTTTCTATTCCACGATCATAATACTTAGCTGAAAGTGCCAGGGCCTTCCCCGCCCTTCGAGAGAGATAGGGTCAGCGTGGAAAGCAGAAGAACAGCCCGCTCCGCTTGTGAACAAACCTATTAACCTGAAAACTTAAATGTTTCTTAATCACGCCCTTTCACACCCATCCAAGTCAACCGAAGTGCTGCTCTGTCTCTAGCTCTCCCTAGGAGTTGCGTATTCAAGAGGGACGGTATTAGAGGTGGAGGTCCAATCCTGCAAAAATCTGGGGAATAGCTAATGAGCTGTGCAACTCATTGATCCAGAGCATACTTCCTAATTAACTCTCAGTCACCTATTTGTGACAGCAATTCAAAGAGCTGAACTGGAGATAAACCGCAACCCCTGCCTGAAAAAAAAAATAACCCCCTTCCCATCCCCCCAACACACTCGCCTTCCTAAAAGCAGTTAAGGTGCCCGTTGTCTTGTCTTCCTCTCAGAAAAACCGACGGCTTCCACTTAAAAACTGAAAGGGAACTTAATCCGTGTACACCAATGCAATTGCACCGAATCCTAGACAAATATATAAGCACCAACGTCTCAGTGAAGAAGCTATATTAATGGACTCGCGTGACAGAAGCAGCCAGACACGATTCTCCAAGGTTAACAGAATGTAAATGTTCTGCGATATGGGGGAAAATGCAATTCTGTTGGCAAAGCTGAATTAAACACCTAGTAACAATTGATTTCGGTGGCTGGTGGCTGTTTCCAACGCCACGGCAAGAAATACTCAAGACTGCACTTAACACCACCTTATGGGGAGGTTTCCTTTTTATCTTTGTTCCCAGATCGTACTAGTAGGGTCGGCTACGCAGCCCTTTGCCAGTCCCTACTTTATAGGAAGCGATGACCTCTTCACCACGGAAAAGTTAAATAAAGCCTTGAAACAACCAGGCTCTGCTACCAGATTGTAGGCGGGCTAGGCTCTTTTCGTTTTTAATACAAAACACAAATGCAAAGCTGCAGGCTCCGCGGAGCAGATGAAAGCAATGAGCGGACTTTCTGCAAAAGATTCATTAGAAGAAATTAATGCTGCAACAAGCTCTGAGGCGAGACCATTAAACACAATCCCACAGTTCGTCAGTGTTACACCAGTCACTGGTCCCGTCCCCCCCCCGCCCCCGCCGCCCGCAACCTCGAATCCTACACACATCGCGGAAAGAAGAGAGAAAAAAAGAGGAACGTGAAACCTTCGCAAATATCGCCCCCGGACTCGCTTCACGAACATCAAATACATGCCCCATATGCTGCGCAGACCAGCCTCGGAGTTGGCGAGGGCTTGCAGAAAATAGACCTATCTGTCCTTCTCCGATCGGCCTTCGATAGCAAGTTCCTATCCTCCCTCTAGTTCTCTTTCCACAAAAAACTAGCTTTAAAATGAATAAACTTCTACATCAGACTGGACCCCACACCAGCAATGATCTTTGAACGGGTAACCACGGTGACTGGCTCCCTTTCCCCCCCGCGGCCCCCAGCTTCAAAGAACAAAACCCCTTTGCATTCGCAAATCAACGAGAAAACCTCACGCAGCTGCAGCTCCTTTAAAAATAGTGTTAAAAGTCCACCCTTTACCTGGCTCTGGAACAAACAGCGCCCGAAAGCCCCAGCCTCTTCCTCATGAATGTGGCTAGTCTCGCTTGGGCTTCTCCACCAGATGCACTGGCGTGGAGGGGAAGCCGAACGCGAGGCCACAGAATACGTGCCCTCCCTCTCCCCTGATTTAAAAGTGCCCCCCACCCCTTCCCCCGAGAGCCAAGCCGTGGCGGCTGCCAGAGGTGGGGCTTTCACAGCCCTTTCCAGAGCGGAAAGCGAGACACGACGGGAACCCCCCACCTCCTCTTTCCTGCTGGGGACCAGACAGAGCGCGACCGGCAGCTTCCCCTTCGCTTACCCCACCCTGCCTCCCTGGGGGCATCTCTACGGGCCAACAGCCGACAAACTTCCACTCCGCGGCGCCCACGCACGCGAGGCGCGCCCCAGGAGGCCCCATCGCCCCCCGCGACGGCTGCCTACCACCCCCTCGCCCCGCTCGGCTCGCTGCCCCTTGCATCGCTTTTGGCCCTGCCACAAAGCGAGCCCTCGCCCCACGTCCCCCCGGGGAGCGCCAGGGCGGGCCGGGCGGCTCCCCAGAGCCCAGCCGCCCGCGGGCCGGGGGAAGGGACGCTACGGACTCCGCGCAGCACCGAGGTTTCGAGCAGCACTGACCTTGTGCTCCGGCTGGGAGAGCAGCAGCGCCGAGTGCGGCCGCCTGGGTCCCGGGGCCGTAGTCCCCTCCTCTCCCCGGAAGGGAAGCTCAGGCTGGGTGGATGCAAAAAGTTTGCTGCTCCCCTCCCCCTCTCGGGGCGTGTGTCCGAGCTGCGGCGCTGGGCTGGCGGCGCTCGATGCCGCGCGGGGGGCAGCAGAGGCTGGCGGGGCAGGTGGCCGCGGCGAGGGCTGCGCGGCTGTCTGGGCTCCGCAGCCCGCGAGGCTCACTCGGGCTGCGGGCGCTGGGCTGGCAGCGCCATGTTGCTGGCCGCTCCGGGCTGAGTGTCCCCTGCCGGCGCCGGCTGCCCTCCTACATCGCGCTCCCGCCGCGGGGCCGGCGTCTCCAGTGGCCTGGCCGCGGCTTTGTGTGTGTGGCTGGGGATTTAATCCCCCTCCGCCGGGAAAGCCGCTCTTCCTCCCCTTGCCGCTGGGAGCCCGGGCTCCGTGTGCTTCACGCCGCGCTCCCCTCACATCCCCCCCTTCCTCCTCCTCCTGCTCCTGCTCCAGCCGCCGCCTCCCCCCCGCGGGCGGGCGCTGAGCTCAGGGAGCCGCCGCCAGCAGCAGCGCCGCCACCGCGCTCTCCCGAAGCAAGTTACCCCCCGCCCGCCTTTCCCTTCCGAGGCTTTTCTCGTCCCTTAATTGATTCTCTCCCGGCCCCCGGCCGGCCGCTCCCCCGTCCCGCCCCTGCGGGCTGGCACTCGGCCCCAAAGCTGAGGGCGTCCCGGGGAGACTCCGCGCCCTCCTCAGCCAGCAGCGGCTGAGAGGAAAGTGTCTCCCCCGCCCGCGCCGCTGCTCCCCTCGCTCGCTACCCAGAAGGCCAGTGGAGAACCGCAATTACCATAAAGCTCCGCTCACTCCGCTCCGCCAAGCTGTCAAAGCCCGGCAGCGGCAGCAGCTCGCTCAGCCAGACAGCGCGCCGGGTGCCGCTCAGCCCCAGCACGCTGCCGCCGGGGAGCGCCCGGCCAGCTCCGGCCCAGCTCCACGCGCGCTTCCCCGGCTCAGCCCGGCTCCCGCGCGTGGCGTGGGCTCTCGGGGCCCCTTTCCGCGACTCCCTGCGCCGCACACCTTTTAGCCTCGCTCCCCCCAGCGCTCGTCACTGCTCCACGCCGTGTCTGAGCAGCCCCTGGCTCGCCGGCCTCCCGCTGCTCCCGACACCGAGCCTCTCGCAGCAGCCCCCTTCCCGAGTGGCACTGTTGGGGGAGGGGTAGCTCTTTATTCCCTGCTCCCACTTGCCGGTCTTACTCCGAATTGCCTGCGTTTGCTCAGGGGAGGGGACGCCCAGCCCCCCCAGGTGAAGCGCTCTTTTTCTTCAGCCGCCCCAGCCCCACTCGCAGCACCCCTTCCCCAACCGGAGTGCCTCTTTGTTCCCTCCCGCTCGCTCTCCTTGGCACTCCCGAAGTACTGTTTCCTGATCAAGCCCGCCGCTGCCCCATCAGCCTCTTCATTCTCAGTCACAGTCCCCCCGGCCCCCCAAGGCTTTCCCGGCCCTCCCCCGCTTTTCCTTCACAAGTGTTTCCCCACCTGCCCCCGCGCCACAAAACAGTCACTCTTTAAATTCTCATTCACAATCGTCCTCGAGTGGAAGATTGCCTGTATCCCCCCGCTCCGAAACACACTTTCCACTTCGCTCCCCCCCTTCCCGTACTGCGTCCATCGCCCTTCAGCCCTTTTCCCAAAAATGTCTTTCTCTACATCGCAACGCTCAGCTTCTCCTTCTCATCAACACATACCCCTCCACTGGACTGCTCTACTTATCCCCACATTTCCCTTCTTCTCCCGTCTCTCAACGGCTCGCTTTCGGTGTGGAAATGCCACCCTGATTATCAATCTTTTGCCTGATCCAAGTCTGAGACTCCTTAACACATTTTCAGAGCGTGTGAATTGTTTGGAAATAGTGCGGTGGGGTGGCGCGTGAAGAACGCAGTTCTCCTTCCTGGATTTTCTACTGCCGATTTAAGATTCCTGCCTGGCTTTTGGAGCCCTTCAATCGCTGGGCTGGTGGTTATCTACTGCATCTATTTACTTTGGCAGCGCAGCTTTTGGCTCAGGCAGCTCAGCTGGTAAATTTCATGTTCGTAACGCCCGACTTGACAGATACTCATACATTTAGTTGGTTGCTCTGCGTTAGCGGCATAGTTATATAAAGGGCTAGGTAATTTTTCATAACGTTAGTAGAAGAGAGACTACAGCATAGCCCTACCCCCATTTAAGGATGCTTAAGGGGAAATCCTGCTCGCTTTACTCACACAAGTAATCTTTGGAGCCCGATACCGGTCCCATAGAAGTGACTTGGAGTTTTGCCATTGCATCTAATGGGAGCAGGATCGGGCCTTTATTAGTACTGTTCTTTGTTAATTCTTTCCAGATAGAGCACGGTTAACAGGCAATTTAGACGATTGTATTTTTCATCTCTACGTGGAGGATTCAGTGTGAGAAATTTCATAACGTGTTTACCTTAGTACTTTTACATACCTTTAACCTTGATTTTAAAAGGTTTCTATTCAATACGAGCACAAAGATATTGGTTAATAAAGGTTTATTTTGTAATGATAGGAGTGACTTATCTTTAAAGGTGGAAAAACAGAAGTTCCTAAAGAAGACTGGACTAAAAAAAAACCAAATGAAGTTGTGAATCTTAGTTACCAACAGTGTTTTACCAGTCAGATACAAAATAAAAAAGTTCTGACAATAGAGTTGGTATTCTGTGAGATTTTATTCATACTATTGTACCTTTCGGTATGTATCTATTTAAAAATATCGTCCCTCTCAAAGCAGAAGTGAAATATCAACTGTTTGAAACCCGAAACTCTAGACACACAACTGAATTGCCTTGCCCTGGAGCCTCTAAAAACAGCTGATGCAAATGAAATGGGATTTTTAAGCAGTAGGTAGATACCTAGGCTTAAGGAAACAGTGGCAAGTGCCTTACAGATATACTGAGCATCTGAGATGTTTTCCGCTGTGATGATACTGAGAGTTCACATTCAAACACTGAAAAAAGTTTCTATATTTTATTCCAGGTTTATGGGGTTTACATCTGAAAACAATCCCACAGGTTGTTTTAATCTCTGATAACAAGCAGAAGGACACCTGGCCCATTACCTTGTAACGCTGTTTTTTTTTATAAAGACGTTTTAGGGCTAGACATTAAAAGTTATTAGACTGAACACACGTGGTTACAGACACAGAGCTGGAGGAAAGGCCTCTGGTATTTGTGTTCCCCTGGGGAAACAACTAATTAAATTGCTTTTTTTTACTTGAAAAGTAGAACTATAGGTTCCCCTCTCCTTGTGGGTAAAGTCTGCTATTGGACTAAGTTAATTCTCTGTCAAAAAATATTTTCTTTCTTTACATTTCCTGATTCACAGTGTATATAAAATCTACATGTTGTAATGAAACAGTTACCCCGGCCCAGTTTATAAAGGGCCCTGTTTCACACATATTTTTAGAACTATTCCGTTCAAATTATCTTGAGAAAAGACCAAATTGATCACTCTTATTTTTTTAAATTACTTTCTTTAACTTTGTTCGTTGTTCAGAGGAACAGAAACGTGTTTGTTCTTCTGTCTGCTTTATTGTTGTTTTTTCACGTCCCAAAGCTTTGCAATTGGAGAGTGGCAGATGTGATCCACACTTCCCTGTGAAGCCATTGGAGCTGCAGTTCAATCCCTCAACCGGGTTGGCTCGGTTCTTCTGAACACACAGGGCTGCATTTCCTTCAAACCGATGAAGGCAACGCCTCGGTACATTCGGAGCATAGTGTTGCCTGCAGACTATCAGGCCGCCTTCCCCCTCCCACAAGCCCTTAAGGGAGCTGACCTGGAGGTCAGGCCGCTGTACACTGCATTCAGTGAAGGGAGGATTTCAATGAAAGCTTAGAGAGAGCGCCGCCGTACACAGACGCTGGGGTCCTTGCGCTGATGTTTTTATAAAGTATGGTGAGAATACGTTCACAAACACAACTGTTCCAATAACGTGAAGCACTTAACAACCTCGTAAAGACAAATCCTTTGTTAACGGTAGAATGGGACTTCTAACATGAGGCCTGGAAAAGGGGGTTATTTCACTCTCTCTTTAATTTACCTGTCATTCCATGGTTCACAATAGTACAAATAATACCTTATTCTGAAATCTGTGTGTACCTCTGTTATCACTCTACTTCTAGACTAGAAGGTGACGGGTTAAATCCCATACCAGCACTCAAAGGAAATCGTATGGCTAGTGCACTAGATTGGGACTTTAATCTCTGTGTGCCTCAGTTCTCCATCTGCAAAATAGTAATAATAATACTTCCCCACCTTACCGAGCTACTGTGAGGATACATTAAATAATGCATGTGTGGTGCTCAGAAACTATGATGATTAGTGCCATGAAAAAGCCTACAAATAACAGATCACTATCCTGAGCTTTGAATTGTCCTGCCAGTGTGTGTCTTAAACCAAACCTTTATCCTTGCAAATTGTAAGTCTGTTTTTAATGGAAGTGGAGAAATCTGAATCATAAAGCAAGACAACCTTCGGTCGGCCTTATGCAGAGTCAGTACAGTAGTTCTTTCAGGCCTGACACAACGCCAGCATATTGTTACAAAATCCTACAAACTCCCATTGACATCAAAGGGAGTTTGCATATTACAACTACTATAATTGTATTTTGTAGCACAGGGCAATTCTGTTCATAGTAGATCAATTTTTAGTTCCTTATGGCTAGCATCTGAGATTGTTTTCAAAGGTAAGTGACAAAAATGTTGCTTCACACCCTTCCCCCACCCAATAAAACAGTATTGACGTTTTTGATATCTCCCAACTATGTTTTAAACCATCTTAACTAACAACAAAAGATTCACTTTTATAATTTGTGTTACGGGTTTAGGTCTGATTACTTGGAACCTCACAGTTAAAAATCCTGAGTAATAGCTATTATAATGGAAACTTCTATGGCTTGTACAGATCAGCATAATTCAATAACCAAATAGGAAAAAATATGTTTAGGTTTTGTCAAAGTTGTGACACTCATCCACAACAGAGAGAAAATGTAAAGTTGAGGCTGCTTTTCTATCCTTAATTTATAATATTAAGGAAACAAACCCAGCAAAAGAGTTAAGGATAGTATGTCAGCCTTGTTTGTCTGTTTCCTGGCTGGTTTTGGTACATGGCACAAACCACAAAAAATTGTAACAACTAGTTTAATAATTCCCACCTTCCTGAAATACTCTGTAGTCACCAGACTAGTACATCTAACACTCCATTCTCTCTACTTAGGCAGTTTTATGTATCATATACCTGATCAGCTCCTTGAATAGGTACATTACATAAAATATGTGCTTCCTGGACAAAGAAGACTGTCCCTTCGAGTTTTTCTTTTAGGAAGCATATTGGAAAAACCATGATTAATATCTCCGAAACAAAACCATATATAGCGAGTGAACAGTAGCCACCTCTTGAACTTTAATATTTCAGCCATTTTGATTGTTTGCTTGGTTCAAAACACTAGAAATAGTTAGGGAAGGCACCGCTGAGCAAGGAGTAGCTTTTTCTGCTGGCACACTGGAGAGCAGAGTTGTGTTATCAGACTCTGCCTGTCACTTCTGGGGTGCCGGAGAAGCAGCAGCATGCCCATCGCGAGGGGGGGGGGGGTTTCGCCTCCCAGTGCTCTGACAACCAATCAAGGAGCGATGTTGACAGGTTCTGAAAGGACTACTGTCTGAAATCCTGTCCCGTTTTCCTAGCAGGAAGATGCAGCTGCGAAGCAGGGCCCTGCAGGGGAGGGGGCTGAGA